CAGAAATTTATATGAGTGTTTTAAGGTAAGCAGGGTCTCCTCCCTTAAGAAGCTCATAATCTAGTTGGGGAGAAATTAAAATAATTAAACTAACAACTTTAACAACTTAGGGATTAAACAAGGGATGACCCACACAAGACCAAGAGTGCACCCTTCATTGTGAATTGCAGCAAATGCTATGACTTTAACATACGCAGCCCCCTAATCCAAGCGGGATACAACCCAAGGCCCCCAGGGGATTTCTGAACCACATTGACCCCATATGTCCTGTGTGTTTTCTTATACACGCACACCTTTGATGAAGCTTAATTTATAAATTAGGCACACAGTAAGAGGCTAGCAATGACTAATGATAAAATAGAACAATTACAATACACTGTAATAAAAGGTAGGTGAATGTGGTCTCTCTCTCTCAAAAGGTCTTATCTTACTGCACTTGCCTGCTTCTTGTGATGATGTGAGAGGATAAAATGCCTTTGTGATGAGATGAAGTGAGGTGAATGACGTAGTGTGTGTTATAGCACTGGGCTACTACTGACCTTCTGATCATACAACAGGAGGATCATCTGCTTCCAGACTGTGGCTGGCCAGGGTCATGGAAACTAGAAAGTGAAACTGTGGATGATGGGGACTATGGTCCTTAAATAACTTTCATCCCATGACTGAGCTGAAATTCCCAAGTGTCCTCCACCCACCACTCACCTTCAGTCCCAAGCCCCTAAACCCCAGTCCCTGGGTTTTCCTTAGATTCCTTACAGCATCTGTTAAAGTTCTTCACCTACATCTTAGCTGTGGTGATGTCTGGGCTTGTCACATTCTCTTTAGTCCTGAATTTTCAGTGCAGCTTGAGGCCAAAAAAATCCACAGGAAACATGAAAAGGGGTTTGGAGATACTTGTCTTCAGTGTTCCAAGAAAGTCCGTCCTCTGATGGAGTAGATTTTAGAAAATGGCATGATGACTAATTAATCACACATTAAAAAAGACTTAGCAGGATGACACAGGAGAAGGGTGTTTCAGGAAAGAGTGCTAAGGAAGTCAGAATGTGCCCATGGTCAGGACTGTCTCCAGCAAACAGAGAAGAAACATTGTGATTCAATCACATGCATACTAATAAGGATAACATATCATTTAAAATGGGGATTTTCCAAAGTCTAAGATGGCACTGGCTATACCCACTGCCCTCCAGAAAACACCTCCTCCTTCAACTGGGGATTCTGTAGCTCTGTTATGTGGAGACCGCAGCCCTGTGTCCTTACAGCACATTGGCAAAAACAGGTGCACTGAAACAACTCAAATGACCACCAGCTGATGAATGATTAAACAAAATGTAGTATATATATATATAACAGAATATTATTCAGCCACAAAAAGTAATGAAGTGCTGATACATAACCTAACAGGGATGAACCCTGAAAACTATGCTAAATGAAAGAAGCTAGATGGATCATATATGATTCCATTCATACAAAATGTGCAGAATAGGCCAAGTGATGGGAACATATAGTCAATCAGTGGTTGCCAGGGGCTAGGGAGGGAGGAATGGAGAGTGACCGCTAGTGGGCCTGGGGTTTCTTCTGGAGTAACTACAGTGCTCTGGAATTAGCATACAACTCTGTGAAGGTCCTAAAAAACCACTGAACTATACACTTCAGGAGGGTGAATAAAAATCAGATATACAATTTTAGAGTTTTAGTTTAAATTTAAGGAAAACATGAGGGAACCAAACTGTAATAATCTGATATTTCCCTGGAAATATTGGAAACATCAAAATTAGAATAAGCATGGCTGAAAACCTATTCACAAAAAATGACAAATGGAAAGGGAAAAAAAAGACAGAGAAATGAGGAAGGGGGCAGGCAGTCAAGTGAGCCCTAACATACCGGTGTTCCTAAAGAAGAGGCGAGAGCAAATGGAACAGAAAAAAAGGTAAAGATGTACTAGACTGACACTCCCAAGTTAATGATAATGATAGAAACTGGCATTTACTGAGCAGTTACTATGTATGCCGGGCATTGTTTTAAGCACTTAACATGCAAGATCTCCTCAAGCGCTCACAACTGAGCGAGGGCCGGTACTCCTACCATCTCCAGTGTACTTGTGAGAAAACTGAGGCACAGAGAAGTCATGCAGTAAGTGGCAGAACCAGAATAGAATAAAATTGAATCTGCAGATTAGAAGGGTAATATATCTGTGAAAAACTAATATAACTAAGTCATTCTGGTAAAGTTTACTTAACTTTCATAGATGACAGAAAACCTGTAGGTTTTCTGGAAAATCCTGAGTTCTGCCAAAGGGAAACATCACCTTAGCTTCAGATTCCTCCTCGGCATTAGCTGGTGTCAGCGGTAGAAGGCTGGGCAAGGACAAGTCCTGAGGCAGTGTGACTGAGACTTTCACTGTCGGCCCAGTGGTCCCTTAAGCAGAACTGCTGGAACGCCTGTCGCTGGTGCCTGAGGTTTGCCACCGAGATTTGCCTGAGGTCAGCAACTCCTAGGAGGAGCTGGTTAGCCAGGCTTGGGTCTCGGCCACCCAATTCCTATGACCTGGCCATAAGATGTCCTGACCAGCCCAGCCTGGGCAGAGATGGGTCATGAAATGATCGGTATGTGAACTTCGTGGGGCATACTGACTGACTGGAAATTTGGGGTTTTTTGGCACAAGCAATTGATCGGATGGCAGACCACCTGCTGAGGAGGGGAAAGCTGGGAGAGGAGCAGGGAGAAATACAGTGAGTGCAGATCTGGGGGGGGCACCAGGTGAGACTTCGGGCAGGAGGCTGGGTGTGTGAGCCTGGAGGGCCAGGGAGGAGCTCCGCAGCTTACTTGGGTGTTCCTGGCGCAGAGCTGATAAGGGGAGCTGTCGGTCCCTCCCTGGCTCTGACCCGCAGATAAGGGAGCAGACACGATGAGATGTCGAAGATCTGAAAGGACCAGCCAGGGGACTCGAGGCTTAACAGCAAGGGTGGTGCTGAGAGGGCACCCTTCATATTTGAGCAAATAAACGTTAACAACAATAGAATTCTGTGTGGGGAACTTAATACACAATCATTAACTAACTCGAAACTTAATCCTGGGCAGTCTCCAGTCTCCTGGGGCACCACCTCTTACATGGTTTTGAAACAATAGCAAGGGCAGTTAGGTCATGGACACTGTTTTGATCTTCTTTGTTCTGTTCTTGATCACTTACCAGGAATTAAAGGAAAAATATTCAAGTCATATATGATTACACATTTGATTTCTATATTAATCCCACAGAAACCATGTGACCTTTGTGGGAAGATCTAAAAAGAAAAGTTCTGGGCAGAGGAGCAGAGGGAGAGGGTAGTAGTTAGGAAGGCTGAGGCGCAGTCAGAGGACGAAAGCCAGGAGAGGTGGTGGCTGGGGGTTTGTGGGAAAGAGTAACAAGATGTGCACGGTCAAGGTGCAGAAAGTCGCTAAAAGATACAATTAAGATAAAGGGAGAAAATGCGTGTGGATGTTTCCTTACAAGTCAGAATTTTAAAATTCATTCCAGGGTAAAAGAGCATGTGGCAAACAGCAAATATACAGACTGACTTTTGTACCTAACCAGACTTTGGACTAAAATCTGTACAAAGCATACTTGTCAGGGAAAGAAGAAGCCCAGTAAATTATAAGAGTATCTGGTTTCTAAAACAAATCTGAAAAAAACATATTTGTGAAGCTGGCCAAGAAAACATCAGGAAGCCTGGTAATGGGAGAAGACTTAGGACAGTGCTGGCAGGATGTGGAGAAAAGGACCGACCCTCTTGCCCACTCATGCCAAAGCAGTGCCACCTTTCTATAGGTTGGCTGGCCACATGCATCAAAAGCTTTCAACAGTAAGTGCACCTTCTGACACCAGTTCCAAGATTTCATCCCGAGGAAACAATTAGGGATGTGTGCAGAGCTTTGGCTACATATAATTTTGCAAAGTGAATGGTTGGAAACAACCCAAATGTACAGAAACAGGGATGATAATTATGGTGCATTTGATAATGGGATACCACACAGTCATTAAAAATACCATAGGAGTACATTTTTTGACATGGAAAAACTTTTGCAATATATTAATCAACAGAAGCTAGTTCTAATATGATCCCAACATTCATATATATGAAAGAACAAATCTGGAAGGTTTATTTCTGGTTGCTGGGTTTACAGATGGTTATTTCTTCTTTTACGATTTCATTTATGATTACTGTTTTCTGTAATGAGTATCCATAATATTCTTTCATAATAATTTTTAAAAATTGGTTATTATATGAAGGTGAAATAAGAAAGGGCACTTGTAAATTCTGAATTCACTGGAATTAAACTCTAATTGATAATCATAAATAAACTAATCATCAAGTGCTGCTATTTACCTCGAATCAGAGATTGTTTTGCTGCCATCAGATGGAATGAGGCCTAAAACAAAAAGTAACTTGAGTTATAGAAAATAAAGTAAAAAATCAGGCATACCTCTCTTTGAATTGTGAAATATGTACCTGTCATATATGCTTATATGTGTGTATAAGAAATATTTGGAAGGATAGCCATTAAATTTAAGTGCCTCCCTTTAGCAGGGTGAGATTAGGTGAGGAAGATAACCTTTTCTTCCCACAACTCTGTATTGTTTGACTTGTTATAAGAAGCATGCCAAAATCTAAGTGCATTTAAGAAGTAAAAATGGTTGTGAGAATATTTAGAAACATGGACAGTATCTATTGTGTGGTGACAAAAAAATCATAATGCAAAAATATGTATACTAGGCTTATAACCATATTCACATATCTTCAGGCAAGAGAAGCCTGGAAGGGAATACATTATCATGAAAATAGTTGTTCAAATTTATTCATTCATCATTTATTTCACAAATGTTTGTTCAGCGCCCACTATGGGCCCCACACTTGGCCCTGTCATAATCAAACAGCCAAAGATGCCCCCTCTCATGGAACTTTCATCCTAGCAGGGAGAGGCAGTACATAATAAATGTTAGAAGTTGGTAAGTGAGGGGTATGGAAAAACTGGAGCTGGGTAAGAGCCTGGCGGTGCTGTGGGTGAGGGGGCAGGGTTAAATAGGTTGGTCAAGGAAGGCCTCACTTAGAAAGCGACACTTGAGAGGACTTGAAAGAGGTGAGTGAGTGTGTTATGCAAATACCTGGAATAGCTTTATAAGCAGAAAGAAAAGCCAGTGCAAAGGCCCTGAGGTGGGTTCAAGTAACAGTAATGAAGGCAGTGTGACTGAAACAGAGTAAGCAGTGGGGAGTAAGCCAATCGGTGTTGAGCTCTGTAGGCTACTGTAAGGACTTTGGCTTTTTTTTCCAAGTGAACTGGGAAGACTTTGTGTGGTTTCAAGCAGGGAAATGCCAAGATTCCTCTGGCTGCTGTGTGGAGATTAGGCTCCTGGGAGAGGGGAAGTATAGCTAGAGACCTGACTGCTCAGGTGAGGGATGAAGGTGGCTGTGGGAATGCTAAGGTGTTGGATCCTAGACGGCTTAAAGGTGTATGATTTCTACATAGAGTGGATAGAGGATGTGAGAGGAGTCCGAGGATGGCTCCTGGGGTTTGAGCCTGAGTAAAATGAGGTGGAGCTGACATGAACTGAGAAAAACACTTGGGTGGAATGGGTCTGGGATTGAGGCAAAATCAGGAACTTATTTGTGGACCTCTTCTTCTGTTCGAGTGTAATTGCAATAAAAACTTTGTTTTAAGAATGTTTCTAATATGGTGATGACATCTTTCCAAATAAAAGTCATTTTAAGACTTTTGACCCAGTTACATTCCCAGAACTGAAAACATGCAAGTTATTAGACACGGCTAATAATCTGGAGAAATCACGGGGATAGAAGACATGCCAAAGCTAGGTTCAAGTTTTCAAAAAGGAAAAAAAAAAAAAAGACAGAGGCTACAAATATTCTAGCATATGTCATGTCAGGGATGACATGTTAACTCCAAAAATTAGTAGATGCTCCACTTGGATTCAGCTAGAGGTCAAGAGCACGTCAGACCGACATACTAGGAAAAAGCAACCAGAGAAGTTTTGGAACTCGGAAGTCCAATGTCTGAAGGAGAGGAAAGGTTTCTTCAGATGGCACAGGTCTCCGGTGGCACACGGCACGCGGCAGCGGCGGTACTGAGAGGCTCGTGTCCCGCCTCTAGCACGCTGGCCGCATAACCTCGGGCAGGTCCCCGAGGCTCCGGTGGCAGCCCTGGTCCCGACCTGTGGGCGCACAGTGAGCGTACAGCGAAAGGCAGGCTTGGGGGCGCCGAGAATTCTCACCCTTTTCTTGTTCTTTTCAGACGCGAGGAAGGTCCTGCCTGTGCAAGAGAAGCAGCGGGTAAAAGCACGCGACGACCAACGTTAAGACTTCCCTGTAGTACTCCTGCAGCGCTGTCAGCACAGGAACGGCGGACACGCGGGCCCAGATGCTCCCCGTACTTTCTCACCAGCTGCGAGGGGAGAGGTGCCCTGACCCTACCTATCACGCGGGCAGGTGCCGAGCGCTCTAACGGAGGGGAAGAGGTGGGGCTACCCCGCGAGGCTCCGCCCCTACCTAGCGCTTCTCGCTCCACCTCCTCCCGCCCAAGTCCCGCCCACCAGGCCGACCGAGCGTCAACGCTTGCGACAGACCGAGGCGCCGTGACGTATGCGCCAGACGTTATGCGTGCTTCGCCTCCGGGCAGCATTCTCTGCCCGCCCCTTGCACGGAAACTGCTCTCGCTCCCAACTGGGTTCTCACCCAGACCCGGTCCTACCCGTGCCCGACTTCAGTCCTGTGAACAGTGACTGTAGAACAACCCCAAGCCCCGCAGGCCCACGTCCCGTGCTCCCGGAGTGGCAGTGGGATAGGCGGGGAGCGGATAGAATAGGCGGGATGAGAGGAGGTGGCGGTCCCTCGGGTCACTTCCGGAGGGCGGGCGGAAGTGGCTGCGGTGGATGGTGGGAGGAGGAAAGCAGCGTGAGGGGAGGGCCTGGCCGCCAGGGGTTGGGGGGGTGGGACCTGGGCTGGCGGCGGGGACCCGGCCTGGGCCGGGACTGCGACCCGGGGCGGGCCGTGGCTCCCTGCCGAGACCGGGCGGGATCCAGGTAACCACCGCGTCCCGATAGGGCTAGGGTCGCCGGGCGGTGGAGGGGCTGGGTTAGGACACTAGGGAGGGTGGCGATGTCACTCCCCTCCCCCGTGAACACTGAGCACGGGATTCTGAAGAGAAGGGTGGGAGGAGTTAAATTCTTGACGGGGTAGGGGGTCATGTGGGCGCCACGCCCCTACAGGAAGGAAGGGTGTGTGTGTGTGTAAACTTAGAAGGGAGGGGGCGACAGGGATAGGCTCCCCAGCTGAGAAACTGGAACCCTGCTGTGCTATTGCTGGCGGGACTCAGGCCTCTATTTCCAGGAGAGCGCTCTCGGGAGTGGCCCCGGGGAGTTTGACAGAGACTGGGCATTACATCCCTGGCACAGTGTTGGAAGCAGAGGGGGAGGTGAGGGTGAAGGGAAAGGAGCAATGCATGTGGAAGGTGCCCGCACCTGGGTCTGGAATGGATTTAGTTCAGTTGGGTAGAGCTGGGCGATTAAAACACTGAACACCCTGAGAAGCTTGGGACATGTAGGGCGATTAGTGTGTGGCCCTAATAAGACAAGAGGACAGGAGGGGGATTTCTTTTCTGTATTTCTTGGAAAGCAGTCTGCCCATAGTCAGTGCGTTTGGTTGCTTTTCTCTAGTGAGAATAGGTTCCTTTTCCCTGAAACATGTATGTATGTACGTATTGATACGGTGCCTGTATTTTGAGGTGCAGTACGTGATTGCAGTGGGTGCCTTGTATAACCTTGTGGAGTGTTCACAGAAGGGTTTTGATACAAAGCAAAGGTATCTAATTTAGGTAGGAAGGCCTCTGAATCCATTGGGTTCATAATAGATTAGAGTGTCATAACGTTTAAATATTCCACAGGTTAACACAGAAATCAGCTGTCGGGGCCATGCCTGTTTTAAGACCTGTTTCATCTTACAAACCCCAGCAGAAGACAGATGGGCCAGTCCTCGAAGTGGATGACTTCCCTTCCCTGAGCAAGAGATGGGATAGTACCTGGGATCTGCCCACTTACTTACTAAGCCAACTGAATGAAGGGATGTAACAGACCTGGGAGGGACACTGAAGCCTGCAGTGGGGGGGAGGGGCCTGGACATAACCCTTCCCCCCCAGACTCCTCCCACTCGGAATCCACTCAGCCATGGACTCTGGACCTGGAAAGAGGAGGGAAGCTGCCCTTTGGTGTATCTGATTTGGGATTCTCAGTTTTGGAAATGGTGTGATGGATGGGGGTTTCATGATCTCCAGGGGAGCAATTGAGAGAAGAAAAGAAAGGTAAGGTTCCTGACTCTTTTCCCACTTTGGTGTCTTGCTGCTCCTGTGCAGAAAGTGTTGAGTGGGGCGAGTCTGGGAATGCTGCCATTCAGGAAGTGCCGTGATGAGATACCCTGATGGGTACACAGGAAGCTTCACCTCTCCTCTCTGTGGGGCTGCAGACTTATTCCCAGCCTCTCCTTACCCAGGTCGGAGGGGTACCTTGTAAGGGGTTGTGAGCAATGGCAATTGTGAAGTTAGGCCAAGGAGATTCATGCAAAGAATTTAAACCTTTGTAGGGAGGTTGGATAACATTACCTCTAAGGCCCTTTCCAACATGGAGATAATAGAATTCCAAGTCAGTATGGGCTAAACAGGACTCTGGAATAAATGGATTACCCAGGCAGAGCAGGCTGCTATGTTTTGGGGAGCTAACTGAATAGAACTGCCTTGGGGTATGGGTAGGAGATGGTCCATATAACCTGAGAAGTTTTCTCTCCTACCCCTACCTGTAGAAGGGAACTTAGGCTGTGAAACCTCATGGAGACAGCGGATGAATACAACGCAGGTTTGGTAATTGGTAGGATTTGTGTTCTAACCCTGACTTTCTTAGTCAGTATCCAACACTAGATGTGTGGGTTAAGCTTTGCTGTGTTCTCTTCACCTGAAAAATAGGGATAAATAACTTCTAGATTCCTCACAAGGTTGTTACAAGGAGCAAATGAAATGATAGATTCTGAATAGTATCTGGGGCCATGTACATACAAAACAGTAACACTGACATCCCTTGATGGGCATGTACAAATTGTTACAAGGACAAAAGCTCTGAATTAGGAATTCTGTTCTTCTATTGATTTAGTGTGCTGGCAAAAGCCTTGGATGTCCTTAATTAAAAGCCTGCCTTCATCCCATTACTGGTAAACACTACCTGGGATCGTCAAGTGGTGAAAAAGTACACAGGTCCAAGGAAAATTTAGATTGAGGAATTCTGGACCTCAGGGCTCTCCAGTAAGTGTGGCAAGTGTGCCTCTTTGGGGTAGCAGATTAAAAAGGGATGAAAGAAAGCGTAAATTTCAAGGGCCGAGTGTCTGCAAAGGAGATGGCGCTCCATTTCTTGGAGTGAATGCAAGGCCTTACTTACTGGCCATGTCCTGGTATTCCCTCCTGCTCTTTAAGAAAGTTTTTTTCAGACTGCCATCTCTTAGCCCTTTATATTTTCACATGCTCTGGTCCCACTTAAAACAGACCTGTTCATAGTTACCCTCTCATTTCCTGCCCATACCTTCCTTGAACTCCCATTTACCTATGCCAAGATACCTGCCTTTCTCAGTGGCAATAAACTACAGAAAGGAGAGGTGTTGGGAATTTTGATATTGGGGCATGGTGGCTTGGGCAAGGGGACAGGAAGCTTGTCTGTGTAATACTAAATATTCACTGGGGGCTAGCTACTAATTAAGGTCATGTGCCAGCTGAAAATCATGTATTTATGACTTAGTTTCTGTTTTCCCCCTCCTTCCTTGCCTGAGTCCCCATAGACGGCTGGGCGGGCAGGCCTAGGCGGAGTCACTGGCCCTGAGCTCTTCCTTCTCTCATCTGATGCCTAGGATGGCCCCTTTGAGGCCAGGCTTCTACTTTAGAAGGTCTAAATTTCAGGGTGGGCATATCACCTCCCTCCAGCTTTGCCCAGCAAATTCCTGGTGCCAGGTCTCTGCTTAGGGCTGTGTGGTCCCAGAATGTCTCTGCAGCCCTCATCCTACCTGGGAGGCCTGTTGAGTGCTTCCAAGCACTTGAAGTACCACAGGGTTTTGCTGTATTTGCATAATATTTACATTATGTGAGGTGTTCTGGCTGTTGTGTTGTGTCAGCTTTCTGTCACCACATTGCTGAGGAAGAGAGAGCAGGAACTATCCCTCGGTGGTCTGATGTAAGAGGCGTCTGCAGAAGCCCTGGGCAGGAAGGGCTCTCCCGAGTGTGGAGTGCCAGACACTGATTGCCAGTGGGTGCTGGGTCCTTCTGCAGTCTGACCTGACAAGGGCCACCGGGATTCTGCTGCAGACCTTCAAGGAGGGGAAGCCAGTGCCCTTAGGGGAACTCAGACAGCCTCTCTGGTAAGATGTCTTCCTCACAGTGAGCTAGAATTCCTGTCTCCTCTTCTTTCCACGGAAAGCACTAGTCCTGCTGTTTGCCGGACCCTTCTGCAAAACAGTCCTCAGGACAGCCCTCAGCTGCCTCCCGGGCACTGGGATGCTCAGGCCACTTAGCCAGGAGCAGTAATAGACTTAACCAAATGCTGTGTGTGTGTTTTACCAGAATTTATTTATACCCTGTTCTTCCAAAAGTAATTACATGTGACTGACCAAAAGTTCCACTTCACTGACAGTGCCCACTGATCACTGTGTTCATCTTTTCCCTCTTCTTTGATCTTAATGAGCTGAGTGTCTGAGTCTTCATGGGGAGTAGGGGTGTTGGGAGGAAGGGAGGGGCAAAATAGACATATTGATTTAAAACTTTACTTCTACTGATGGTTTCAAGTCAAGATCTGTCTTAAGTTCAGAGCATGAATTCTTTCCAAATTGTAAAAAATTTCAGGGTATTTTAGGCATGGTTCACAGGAGGGCAGTTTCCCAGAACTGTTTTCACTTCTTTTTCCATCTGTCTCTAGTCCTGTTTGGGAGGTCGGGGGGCGGATGGGGGGCAGGATATAGTTTTGCCTCTTCTGATTCTCCTTTATCCTGTGACCAGATCTTCCCATTTCCTGTAACTTTTGCATAATACAATTCCAGAATGAAGGCACCTGGTTCCTTGTTTCTGCTCTTCTTCCCTGGTAATCCTTCCCCATAAAACCTCCATCAAAAGCCTCTTTGCTCAGGTCAGTTTGGCGCTCATCACCCTGGCTACTTGCCTTTCAGACCAAATGTTTTCCTTGTTTTCGTATAGTAATTCAGCCCATCCCAATTCTCTAACCAGGCCCTTTCTTGGGACAGTCCTCTTGCAGTTGGGGAATTTCTACTCTTCGATCTTCTCTTGAGCCTTGGAATATAAACAAAGGACTGTCTGTAGTCATCGGGTGTGAGTTATGGTGCACAAACAATCCTGTCCTGTTTCCCACTGAACTGCCCTAAATGGAGGATTATCTTTAGAAGTGGGAATCTGACATCTCACAGGCGGTTGATCTCTCTACCTTTCAGCATCCTGCTGTGTCCTTTGTCCTGGAGGGTGATTTTAGCTATTGGTATCTGGGGTCCACAAACCAGTGTTTCCCAATGTTTTACACTCTTAGGAAGCTTATTGTTTTCCCTGGTACGTTGACATGTACTGTGAAGTGTGTAGTCCTCCTACATCCCCCAACTCCCTTCATGAGGAGAGCATGGGCTTGCGTTTCCTGCATTGTCCAAAATCAGCTCCGTTGGAGATCTTGGACACGGACACACAGTCGGTCCAGCTTCACTGAGGTATGTTAGCTCTTCTCTAACTCTGCTCCTTCAGGGCCAGGCTCTAACTGCTTCAACTAGGATTTCCCTGCAGCCCCACTGTGCCTGTCATGCGGGACACAGCCATCTCAGAGCATTTGCACTCAGATGCATGAGGGGAGGCAATGAGTGCCAGCTTTGGAAGCAAGAATGGGTGGGTGTTAAATCTGGCTGTGTACCTCACTTGGTCTTGTAACCTTCAGCCAGTTGGCACTTATCCTGAACCTCATACTCCTCATCTGTAGAGCAAGATGACAATTCATACGCTGCAGAGCTGCTGGGAAGGTCCAGCGTGAGGAGGCCTCTGTGCAGTTTGGTTTACCTCCTAACCTCCTTGCTGGAGCCTCTACACTTTTGTTTTTTGAAACCCAGCATGATTCCTGGTTTCATGTAAAAACAAGTTAGTGAGCAAAGTCAGTAACCACACACCACAGAGTTCCGGCCTGCTGTGTGCCCTGGAACACAGAGGAGGGAAGTGGATGGCGGAGGATCTGGTGCCTGTGGAGTGGGTGTAGGGCTGGCCTTGAACTCAATTCTCAGGGAAGTCGTCTGCAGGAGCATCAAGTAGTTCTTAGCTCCCCACCATGATTTCCCAAGGTCAGCTATGGACATCTAGGCTTTTCTAAGGCACTCCCACATCCCCTTTCAGGTGGCTACCACCCAGTCTTGTGATTGACCCTTTCCTCTTTGCATCTGAGGATTCTACCCTGGGGACAAGTTTGTTTTACTCAGAACTAACAGCTCTCATTCCCCACCCCAACGGAAAAAAAGAGAAGAAACAACTGCCGGTCCTCCTGGGCTTTGGGCAGCAGGTGTTTCCTCCCTGGCTTCTCTTCTGGCACCTGCTTCCTGTGCTCACATCTCCCTGCACCCTGTGGCCCCTCTGTTGCCCCCGACTTCTCCCACTTGGAAGGCAGCGGCAGGGGGTTAGAGAACTGGCCCCCACACCCTTGGTCTTGGGTTTGGTGAGCATGCTACCGGGCTGCCTAGCCTTCTCAGGCAGGGCTGTGCCCTCAACTCCAGAGCCTATGAGCCCTAGGGCTGGGAGGAGGAGATGCCGCGAGCAGTCTAACTGGAGGGCGTTGAGGGCGTTGATGGGGTCGGACGTCGATCCATGGAATTGAGGTTAGGGCAAGGTAGGGCCGATGGTAACAGCTGCCTGCACAGCGCCTCCCGAAGTTCGGGACCCCGGAGAACTTGGATTGTCCAGGCGGAGGGTAACGAAGAGCCGGGCGGAGGAGGCCGGCCCGGGAAGCTGCGTCGGGCGAGGGGGCGGCCGCCCCGCCCCTCGGCCCGGCCCGGCCCGCCCTCCCCGGGGATGGGCCACGTTGCCCGCCCGGCGGGCTGGCCCCGGCGCGCCGCAGGAAGGGCCGGCCAGGAGGAAGGCGCCGGCTGCTGCGTGAGCGCCTGGAACGCGCCCGGGCACCAGCCTCGCTCCCCGCGCCCGGGGCGGGCCAAGTCCAGGACCGGGAAGTTGGCAGGACCTGGTGAGTCGGGCCCGGGGCCGCCGGCGCCCGTCACTTCTGGGGTTGTCCCCGGGAGGCGACGGAG